GTTTTCAGAATGTTGTTCAGACAGTAAATAAAGTTTCAGATGTTTCGAGAAGTTGAAGGTATTGAGATCTATTAGATGAGTAAGAATATTGTCCCAGAGAATAGTTGCTGTATAAGCAATTGTCTGTTTACCAGAATTGCTACGCACTTTAGATATGCATAGATTTTGTCTAGTTTAGAAGATTAGCATATGCAGTAATGGCCGACGGTCACGCGTTCTACCCGCTCCTTCAAAACGACGCTATGGTTACAAAGGAAGAGATCCAGAAGCTCTTAAGAGAAGCAATAGCACCCCTAGAAGAAAAATTTGACAATTTAAACAATACTTTTAAAAATTTGAAGAAGGCAGCCGATTTTTTGAATGAGAAGTGCGACAATGTATTATCGCAGCTTCGACAGACCAAAGAGAAGGTACACCTTCAAGCAACGAGCTTGCGACAAGTACAAAAACATCTTGATAATGTCAAGAAAGAATCCTGTGAAGCGACCATGGGCTTTGAAAACCTCGCGAAGTATCTGAGAACGGACTGTCTTAAGATTTCGGGTATGCATCTCAGTGAAAATTGTACCAGCAACGACATCGTTATTGCGGTCGGTCGAGCTATCGATGTCCCTGTTAAAGAAGAGGATATATCTACTTCCCACCCTTTACCGTCCTGCAACTCGGATACTCCAACGAGAATCATAGTGAAATTCATTCGGCGTGATACGAGCAAAAGGGTTACATTACGACATATGCTAATCTTGTCTTGTCTTGTCGACATATGCTAATCTTGTCTAAACTCAACCGTAAACGGAATCGTCGCGAAATTTTGGCCATGGAAACTAAAAGAGATCAAGCATTTATATCGCGACCGAATTCTGGTCCTGTTTTTCTTGCAAATTTCTATGGATATGTTGAATTCAAAGATATTCGTGATATTGATATCTAAGCCAGTGAAAGCCGAAAATATATATAAAGCTTATGTTTCCGCTAGTGTTCTGAGTTCTCTAGTTCTCACGTGGCGCTGCGTATCGTGTTTACCGGTGCAATAAACGATAGGGTTTTGATCGAACAGAGACGCGTAGTATGTCTGTTATTTTATAATAATCAATAAATAATAAAATGGACTTCTGACCAATGATGCATTGCAAAGCTTGACAACTCAAAGCAATTCATGTGCAGTTATGTCACTTTTCTTCCATCAAAAGTAGATTGAGATATTAGCAATAATACTTGAGGATATTAGCACTATAATAGGTTTTGTTTGAGCGGAAGAAAAAAGTGATATGAACAAAACATACCTCATAAAAGATTTCAGAGTCGATCGACTGTTGATGCACGTCTGGCAAAGTTCAAAGCGATACACTGACGATATGA